TTCAGGCTTGAGGGTTGAGGGTTTAGGGTTTAGGATTTAGGGTTTAGGGTTCAGGGTTGAGGGTTTAGGATTTAGGGTTTAGGGGGAGGGTTTAGGGTGATGTTGGGGCTGAGGGTTTAGCGTTTATGGGGACATCTAGTCACTTCAAAGTAGTTGGAGGGCTATGATAGAGGTGTAGCCACAGAATTGCCCACAATGGATAAACTTAAGGGTTTAGGGTTTAGGGAGGAACGTGGACAATTAAATGGAAACTGGATTTATGTAGGGCTTCTAGGGCGTTTCAGGACAACGCCTGAAAGAGCACCAACATGATTTTGAGGTCTGCTTGAGGTTCTGTATACGAGCAGTATATAAAAACTCTAGGGCCCCAGGATTTACAGTGTTGCGAATTATTTCGGCCTATGCGTCATAGATTTATTCTATGATGAAGGTGCAGGATGCTAGGGCGCATAGAGCTTGTTCATCAGTTTACGGTGTAAGGATCAGGGTTTACGGGGCTTTGCCTAGTCCACTTCCTGGCTGCTAAATTACCCAATGCCAGGGCGGTAAACCTTTGATTTCTGCCAGGGTTAATCTCGGATACGATTATACATTGGGAGTGTGGATTTCTATTGTTTGGGTGTTGGGTTGTGTGTTTTAGGTAGGGGAGGGGGATTGCATAGACCCACAGTCTTCATTTTGAGACCTCCCGAATCGACGTATATATACACTTATATACTCACCAAAGGCCATGATAAACACCTTGCTTCACATACCCCATATACACCGATATACTATCCGAGTTTCCATGTCATTTTCCATGTTGCTTCCATCTGCCTCTCCATTTTTGGATATCGAGCCACGAAAGTTTAAGGTCATCCACTCGGCTACCCAGCCTACAGCAAAACCGCTGAACCCTAAACGCCTAAACCCCTAGGCCCTAAACTCCTACACATCTGAAGCCTCAACCCCATACGTGTAGTCCCCTTAGACCTGTAATAAACATGGTAAATTTAATAACTCCTTGGGGTTGTACTATACTAAAGACTGGAAATACTTCCTAAGGAGACTACAGATACACCTAAAGCCCTAAACTGCCGGGCCTTGGTTGTCTTCATCTGAACCCAGCTGGCACCTGCGTCCTGGCCCGTGGCCAAGCAGTCCTCATCCTGCGCAATTCATGTATCTTTAAGGGTTCTAGGGTTTAGGGTTTAGGGGTTTGGGGTTCTAGAATAGGGGTTTAGGGTTTCTAGGGTCTAGGGGTTCAGGGTTTAACGTTTCTTCAGGGTTTAGGGTTTAGGGTAGCACACGCAGGCGGCTTGCGTGACGACACACGAGAACAGCAGAGGAGAAAGATTTCGTCAGCTTTTTGTGTCCGATTTCTCGGTTCACATAAGCATTGAAACTTAGCTAGTATTCAACATGAGATGTTTCATTCCGCAATCAAGGTATTATCCTTCAAAAACCATAGATTTGCTTGGAGGAAAACAAAAAATCATTTACCCAAATAAGACAAGTCGAAGCAGCACTCTAATAATATGATGAAGAGGGGACTTTGAAGCAGAATGGCTTTAAAGCATGATTCAGGGCTTAGGGTTATTACCCCCCAACAAGCAATGGAAAATGAAATGGAAAAGAACATGGAATGTGAAATGGAAACTGGAATTTTGCAGGAGCCTATAAGAATCAGGAGTTCCAAGACTTGGGGGGTTGCTTTCGGAAGGGCTTCCCAGAATCACAGAATCAGGGTCATCTATGTTGGGGCCCCTTGTTTTTGGAACTACCACTTAGCAGGGGAACAGCAGCCTGCTGGCAAGCAACATCTTAAGCCTAGCCCGAGATACAATGACAAGGAAGCCACAGATGTCACTTGTCTTTACGAGTTAGTGTTTCTTCCAAGTTCTAGGTTGAGTGATCCTGCTAATGGTATCCTTTGGACCCGTATCTGCAGCATCTGCATGATTTGCATCTGAAAAATCCTGCATGACTGATACTCAGTATGAATAGGAAACTATCTTTACAGGGTACTCCAAGTCACGCAGGATGGAGGAACGGTAGCGGGCACAAGTGGCTTTTGCAAGGCCTGCCACTCCACCCGCTATGTCATAATAGCGGCTCCAAAACATACTCCGAACACATCCGTCCCCATACTCAAACGGACCTCACACTTGTCTCTCATTCCCAATAACCCCAACTTGTTTCCTGATGGGATCTGTCTAAAAAACGTCCTAGAGCGTTGTAAACCAGGGGCCTTTTCAAAATCCCACGCCTTTCCACAAAAGCGCTCAGCAGTTATGTGTAAGCCTTCATACCAGCTAGTCTCGTGCGAAACAACTCTACGCCCAAGCAACTGCACTGAGTCCTGCGCAATGCAGTCTGAGGAACAGCAAACGGCCAACGAGCTCCAAAAGAAGGCCTTGAACTATGCGGATGGCTTATCACCACCAAGGGTTTGTGGGCTTGCGGGCGTGCTCATGAGCTTGCGTGAGCATTTATTGGGGCGAATTTGTGATGCTAGCAGTGGCAGCTGCAGCAGCGGCAGTTGCAGTATGTTGCAAGTAGAAGTTGCAGCGGCAGCAGCAGCGGCGGCGGCGGCACCAGCTACTCTAGGAGTGTTACGAAAATGCTTGAAACTCCATCAAAACTAGCACGTCTTGAGAGTGGCAGCTTCCGGAACATTACAGGAGCAATGACGAGTTCCCTCCAACCGACAAAGGATTTACAGAACAATGGCTTTACATTAGATCGCAATTCGAGGACCGTTTGGTCGAACATCAGGGAGCCCACAAGTATCGCAAAACAGGTATTCTTCCACCATAGTCCCCCGAAAAAGGTATGTTGCACCATGCGCCAGGGTGTCTACTACTGATCATGACAGCGGCTACTTTTCAAATAACAGATTCCCGTTACTTGACGCTTAGAGTTTAGGGTTTAGGGTCCCACCCCCCTCTACGACACACATCCGCTCCCAAAGCGGGCGGGCCTTACGCCACATTGCTCGCGAAAAGCGGGGTTGTGATATGTGAAAGCTAGCAAGGATCTACGCTAGTGCCCCTAAAGGAGCTTGGAGCCAAAACCTGCAGGTTTATATAGGGGTTATATTGGGATAATGGAAACGAAAATAGAAACTACTATTTAGGGCTTGGGGATTATAGTGTATTTTACAGTGCAAGCAGCATTCCTGAGGCAGTGGTATTTAGTCACTCCCCTCCCCCCCGTGAACTCCTCCGACTGTGAAGTCCAAGAATTTTGAATTCCATTACTTTTAAGATGTGCGGAATATGTATTACTAGAGGGCGGGGAGGTGGACCATTAGGGCGAGGGGATTAGCGAGGCCTGAATTTCAAACCATTTCCAGGGTCCTCAATTTACCCCCATGTTGAGAAGACCACATATGCCAAACAATTGTCTGCTGTTGCGTGCAAAGATGAGCGTTGGTAACTTGAGGTCGTGCACCTTTGTAGTGCAGCTGGAGCCCTCATCCTGTCTGAGGTGAGCTTAGCACGTGACAGGAGAGTTCGGTCTACTTGTGGGCTTCGCGGCCAGCTTGGCATGCCATTCCTACATAGACGGATCCTGCCCGCCTGAACTTCACCTTCTCTCACTCCCTTCTGCTGGGTTGCTGTTAAGGA